CTATTAGCTACGTGTTGTTTATCTTCTAAAGTGTAGCGTTGAATATTCAGTCCTATTTTATGACCATATCGAATCCCGGTACTTGGTCAATATATTAGTTCTCACCAAAATCTTTATTAATTAGGAATCTTTACAAAATAAGGAAAATTTAGGTATTGTGTCTTGAGACTTTCCAAGATACGCTCACACATATATGATAATAAGCAATTCTAACTACTGATTAAAATATCAATCCTAATTCTACATTGAATGTACGAGACTAAAAATAAGTATTCTTCATCTTTAGATTGATCAAAATATTAACTTTACTCCTACACTAAATGTACAAGACAAAAGAGTATTGTGAGCTAAGACTTTTTAATTTGTACTAGTGTATACCCCGTGCGATGCACGGGAATAATATTAAACTAACAATATTATAAATAGATCTCAAGTTTTAGTCACTCAATGACGGAAGTGGAAATTACTATTGATCCTATTTAAAAGGAGGAAGAAAAAAAAATAATTATAAATTAAAAAAGAGGATAAACAATCATTAATAATTATAAATTAAAGATTCAGGGTCAAACAATGTAAAATTATTTTGTATAAGAGAATAAAAAAATTTGATTACACACCATTTCAAAATTATTATTATACTTTTTTGTATGATTAGCTTATAATATTTGTAAAAATATTAGTAATTAGACCGATAAAAATTAACTTCTTAAAGTAGATAATGGATTTATAGTAGTAATTATGAATTTGTTTCTATTTTATTTTATTTTTTTCTTTTAAAGATTATTGATTTCTAGTAGTAATTATGAATTGATTTTTATTTTATTTCTTCAAATCTGTATAGATAAGGGATGAGATTTTTTAAACGCGTGAGACGTATGCAATGAGATTTTCTAACAGAAGAGATAAGCTCGTGTAGATTTATACTAAAAATAGGAAAAAGAAAAACAAATATTTATTGTCAAACAACGGTTTTGATAAACTAAAAAACAGGAAAAAGAGAAACAAATCTTTACACAATTAATGAGCCGATTTTTTTGCCTATTCAGATTTGTTCAACAATTACTATATATAGGATATATTTAATGATTTTGGCGGGAAAAAGTTTCTAAATTTGTAAAAAGGTTATTCTTTTTATATAATGATAGATATCAGTATCAATCCCACATTTATTGTACGAGACTAACAAGTAACATTACTCTAGTTCAACTACCATCCAATGTGCGAGAAGTTAAGAATCTCGCACCTTGCCTTTGCCGATGACCTCATGTTTCTCTCTCGTAAAGACCTCCGTCAATTCAAATTCTCATGGATTGCCTTAAGGACTTTGGAGCTAAGTCAGGGCTCGAGATGAACGTGCTAAAGTCTAATATTTACTTGGCCGGGGTTAAGAACGATATTCGGGCTACAATCCTTGATGATACCAACTTACGTTGCGGCTCAATGCCCTTTCGGTATCTCGGTGTCCCTCTCTCCGCAGACCGAATCACCGGAAGGTTCTTTGATGATATGATCAAGAAAATCGAGGGGCAACTTAGTGGGTGGAATGGGCACACTCTTTCCTATGCCAGGAGATTGGAACTCCTTCGCTCGGTAATACAAGGCATTGTGTGTTTTTGGATGGGGATCTTCTATTTGCCCGGCATAGTTAGAACAAAAATCACCTAACTATGTAGAAGGTTCCTTTAGGGTTCGAAGAGTGCTCATGTGGCTTGGGAAAGTTTATGTCTGCCGCGGTTGGAGGGTGGTTTGGGGCTTAGAGACTTGAATGCGTGGAACCAAGCGTTACTCACCAAGACGTTTTGGAACATGCAAGCTAAGAAGGACACCTTGTGGCACAAATGGATCCACAATATCTACTTACAAGGGAGCTCCATTTGGGATTGGCAAATCAAATCGAGGGACTCGCCTCTTTTCAAAGCCCTCTTTGAGATCCGGCAACTCTTGGTGGAAAAGACGGGGAGTGAGCGGGGCGCGGAAGCCCTTCTCCAATGGTGGAAATCTCGAGAAGGTCAAGATGGGACTAGCAATTGCTACGACTTCCTAAGACCTAGAGGACCTATGGTGTCGTGGAATGGAGTTGTTTGGGGCCCGTGTAATACACCCAAGCATTCCTTCATCCTTTGGTTGGGGCTGCGTAACCGTCTCCGAACAAGAGACCGTCTCGAATTTTTTTGAGGAAGACCCGATATGCCCTCTATGTGGAGTTGCGAATGAATCTTCGAGTCATTTATTCTTTGAATGTACCTTCAGCTCGGAGATTTGGGGTGAGATTCGTACTTGGGTTAGCCTCCGACATAGACCGTCTACACCCAAAGGATCTCTCAAATGGATCAAGAAGGAGGCGAGAGGGAGTGGTTGGCAAACCAAGTTGAAGAAAGCGGCGCTCGCGGACACCGTATACTTTATTTGGAATGCTAGGAATCGGTTGGTGTTTGAGAATGAATACCAAGGCCCGAGCCTTGTAATCCGCAAGGTAAAAACCCATGTCTATCGAACTATTTTTGCAACTTATCCGAATGTGCTTGTTGAATTGGAGAAGAGGTGCCTTGGGCTTTGAGAGGCATTTTGGGTGCTTGATCGTTGCGGCTATGAGGTGGTCGAAAGGCCTTCGAGAATGGTTGTTTGGAAAGGGAACACAAGGTCCGTGCACAACCTGCCAGCCGCGCCCAGATTCTCGCGAAATAGCTAAGTCGCGACTTTTTCGGTTGCGAGTCGTGACCCGCGACATCGTGTCCTCAAGCAATGGAACCATACGGCCCTCACGTTAGTGCCGAAGTCCTCCCACTCCTCACATGTCACAGACTTTCGACCAATAGCGTGTTGCAACACGATCTACAAGATATGCTCAAAAATCCTAGCTAGTCGAGTTAGCGGTGTCCTCGGCTCTATCATTGACGAGGCTCGAGCCACCTTCGTAAAAGGGAGGAGCATGACGGACAACATCCACCTTATGCAATAATTGCTCCGCCTCTACTTGAGGAAACAAGTCTCCCCGAGGTGTATTATCAAAATCGACCTCCGCAAAGCGTTCGACTTCATTTTTTGGTCATTTTTGAAGCAAGTGCTCGATGGCCTCGGCTTCCCCCAGGTCTTTACGAGGTGGGTCATGGAGTGCGTCACTACACTGTCGTACTCTCTATCTATCAACGGGAGCCTCAAAGGCCACTTCAAAGGAGCCCAAGGTTCAAGGCAAGGAGATCCCCTATTACCTTTCCTTTTTGTGATTTGTATGGAGTACCTCAGTCAAGATTGAATCTCGCGAGTCGCGACATCATGCTCCCAAGCGCCCAAATTTTTTGCAGTTTGAAGAGGCTCGACGTTATAAGTCGCGAGTCGCCAGTGCATACCTGATGCTACACCCTATGTTTTGGACTTCTTTGGATTCCTATGTTTGCACTTTGTTTCTAGTGACATGAGAGTGACCAACTGACTTGTGGGTGACCTAGTATAACTTATCTTAAGAATGAGGAACCGACTTGTGGTTGCCCATTTTGTTTCTGTATACAGTCATCCGGCTGTCCGAAACATTTTTGAAATATACATATACATTTCANACAAAAAAAAAAAAAAAAAAAAAAAAACATTACTCTAGTTCAAACTTCGATTTGCTATAGCTTCAAAATTTACAGTTGAATTTTCCAAGGCATAAGATTTCTCCGTCATGTTTGGCATCTTTTATTGCATCTCTTATTAACATCCTCATCAGAATGACATGTTGATTAATATATTTGTGTACATTGTTGATCTTTCAGTTTTGGTAACACTAGTGAGAATCCCGTGCGATGCACAGGAATTTTTGTACCTTAGAACATTTTTTCAAAACTTAATCTTAACAATATATTAGTTCGTTGGCCTGTTTATATTAATATAAATAATATTTTACATATATTTATCTATTAATACAAAAAAATAACAATTTCACATATTTTGGTTCATCATAATACTCAAATAATATTATATTAAAGAATTTGTTGTCGTGTAATATCATTATTATTTATAATAGTTCTATATAATATTCTTATATATATAATGATAAATATTTAATTTATATTCATACTATTATTTATTGATGTAATTAATTTAAAAAATATATAAGCAAATTTAATGTTTGCGAGGAATGTGATTATATGTAAGTTAAGATAAAATGAAATTTATCCAAAAAATTATGCTTATGATATTTTTCTTTAAATGTTTGAATGAATTTGAAATTCAAATTACAAATCAACCGCCAATTTTTTAAATAATTTCAAAAAAGGTTCCTATTGTAGTAAAATACAATTACTAAGCGGGATTTTACTTTCTACTTAAAGTAAATTCCTATTTCTATTTTATAGTAATATATTAATAAAAATATATGTTCATGATTATCTCTTTACCTAATTTGTATTTAAAGATCTATCGCAATTCCTAAAATTTTAGGAAAAGAATTTATACAAAATTTAAATCGAATGCGAAAATATTTGGGCATGAAAAATTATGAAATAGTAATCTGAATTATAGGGTGATACCTATTGTATTATAGTATTGTGTATAATAATGTATCGTAATTTTTTTTAAAAAAATTTAAATTTGGAAGCATAAAAATTTGAAAACAAGATTTACTTTGAAAATGGTAGATATTTGAAAGGATAAAATCTAAAATGTAAAAATCTTGTATAAAAAATATCAATGGTTGAATACTTAAAATTTTAAATTGGACATTTGATTACGTGTTTCACACGATTTCTTAAAAATCAAAATTATGTTTACAATATTTCCTTAATAGGGAAGTCAACCATTTAATTAAAAAGTCAAAGTTACTATTTATGTATTTTTTCAACTTTTTTATATTAGTATAGATATCCAAATTTCATGTAAAAGTTTAGACGGGACAACCATCGATTGAGCCGGTCAACTTTTATAGATCTAAGAAATCGTAGTCAAACTCCGATCTTCTTCTCAAAATTCCCGGCGACTCCCAGACCCACAAAATCCGAGAAACCTCCAGAATCCTCCGAGGAAACCTCCAGAATCCTCTCTTCGAGGCGTACTCGGAGACGGCTACCTTCGTCGGAATCGGCGAAGTTTTCTTGCTTCCTTTTTGCTGGCAAATTTGCCCACCAAGCCATCGAGCTTGCCGTTTTCTCCATTTCTTTAGCAACCATTGTCGATTTATCGTGGGTGGTATATTTTTTGGCAACTGGAGCTCCGAGCCTTGCATATCCCTCTCTTTCCAAGCTCCAACAACAAATTTGGTGAGCTCCAAGGTAAAAGGATTGATTCCAGATTCTCGTATATTGCTTGTTGTGGTTGGATTGAAACACTACTCTTGCCGGAGTAGTGGTGTTGAATGATTGAGGTATTCTTTGATTGTGGTAGACACGTCTTGTCGGGCGTGCCAAGTTTTTGTTGAGTGGTTGTTGGGGTGGTCCTGGTTGTAAATTGTTTAGTAAGGAGAGTGCCGAAAAATACTTACTCATTATGCCTTCGAAGAAAAAGTTGGTCGTAACCAAGGCCAAAGGAAAGCAACGAGTTACCGACCAAGAGCATGAGTTGTTGACCGACTTAGGGTTGGACTTTCACAATGATGTCGCTTCGGCGACTATCCCCGGACCCTTCAAGATTTATGGACCACGACAGGAGCTTGTGTACGACAAGATCAAGTTAATGGATACTTATCCTTGGAAACCGTTTCTCATGTCACATTTGGCTTTTCTTCACTTAGATGAAAAGGTGACGAGTTATCCTAATGTGTTGGGGTTGGACAAATTTGCTCAAATGAATGAACCAGCGAGAGTAATGGTGGTCTTTGAATTCTTTACAACATTGAAACCAATTGACAAGGGAAAGGAATTAGCTTGTCGCTTTCAAGGGAAAGAGGTGCAAATCACATATTCTCCTCTTATGAGCGAGATCTTGGGTTTCTCGGCTATGGGGCTGAGAAAAATCCTTTCGGAGTTTAATGTCGAGAATGCATGGATGGAGCTATCTGGGTGTCCCACAAAGATTATGGATGTATCAAAGGGGTACATCAAGGACCATGCCTTGGCGGTGGTTCACAAGTTTATATGTATTAACGTTTTCAGAAAGGAAGAGGCAACAGAGTGAGCTATGATGACATCTTTCATCTTTGGTGCGCGGTGCATAAGAAGACGATGTGTCTTACCAGATTCATATGGCGAGCACTGATTCGTGTCATCACCGGTACCCATTTTCCTCCGATCTTGTGGCTCTTTATATTAAGATTGCGTCTCATTTTGGCCTTTTTTATGGAAAGGAGTGTGTGAATATGAAGTATATAGATGACGAGGAGCTCATACTATCTCACATCGCCATAAACGGTACCACACTTCATCCTCACGACCCGAGAATGCGTTATGAGCTACTATCAACTACTTGATCGAGTTAACGCTTTCAAGAAGGCCCGAGGTGAAGAACTGATCGGGCTAGCTAAACCGTCCAAGAATGTCGAACTTTCTCTCTCTGATGCTTCCCAACCGGCCGCTGAGCATGCTTCTCACTCTACCAACTACACTCCAAACCCGTGGGACAAGTTAGTCGCGCAAATGCCCGCCATGATGGATTGAGGGTTTGATCGTATTGATGCTCACTTGAATGCTTTTAACTTTACTTTGGTTTCTATGGATCCTCGGATCACCGCGGTGGATGCTAAAATGGATCAACTTTTGGAGGCTCGGGCCGTGGCCTCTACCTCTTTTGTGAACTCTCGGACCGAGGGCCCTAGCTCATCTTTCCCACCGGACGATACACGGTGATTTATCATTGTGTAGAGTACGCGTTTTCTTTTCCTTTCTTTTCTCTTTCATTTTGTTCTTTTGTGTGTTTTTGTGTTAGTTTCCTTTCTCTTTCGTTTTTGTAAATAGTTGTTTCCTTTGCATGAGTTGTGTGAATAATTGTTCTTTCCTTGCACTTTTTAGAGCAAGCAATGAGGGAATTGATTTGATTTAAGTGTGGGGGAGGATTTTTGTTAATTATGCATGCTTATGTGGTGGACCGTTTAGTTTCCTTTAATTTAGGTGTCTTTTATTTTTGTTTTGTTTTGTCATGGACCGGGTTTTTATTTTAGTTTTTGTGTGTTTATGTCAAACTCTCCATGGCTAGTTGTGAGTTGAGAATGTTGAATGGTTTCATTTTCAATTATCGTGCCATATGTACTTGATGATTTCGATGTCACTTTCCTAAATTAAATGACGGTTTGTTGACATAGGCACCCACATTGACTTCATAGAACTGTTATATCTCTTGTTTGTTCTCGATTCGTTAACTTAAAACATTCTTCCCTTGTGCTTGATTGTAGTAAACGTGTTGTCTTATAAACTTGCAGTACGTCATATTGGATGTCGATTATCATGTAATTGTAGTCTTAATGTATCCTTGTGTAGTCACTCCCTATTCGAAAAGAAAAAAAAAAGGAATAAAAAGTGAGTTCACGAGGAAGTACGGATTAGACTTTGCTTTCTCGAGTTATATCGTGGAATGGGATAATGCACACGGAAAACAGGTTTAGGAGACTCGAGAAAACCCCTCGAGGGTACACCTAGATAATAATCGTCCAGAACCCTCGTTTGGAAAACACGGCTCATGAAAAATGAAGAAAATGAGTTTTTGAGAGTCGGAAGGATTAAACTCCACTTGACCCAGTTCGTCTCCTTCTAGATGGGTCGAGACAATGAGTGCGGGACAAACCCCGAGGTTAAACCTAGGTAATAATCATCTGAACGACTCTCATTTGGAAAAAATGACTCATGTAAAGAAGAAAAGGAATAAAAAAGGGAATAAAAAAGAGAAAGAAGTTGACGTTGTGGGTCTTGTCCTTATCATTTCTTGTATTTTCTTAGACCTTGTATTTCTTTTTGCACGTGTATTTGAAAAAAAAAAAAAAGAGTTTGAATCGAATAAACCATGTGTAGAATGACCTGGGATGGGTTTTTGTTTGGTATGAATTCATTTCGTGGGGGACGTGTTTTCGAATTTTAGGTTAATTATAAGGATAACTAGGGAAATAAGAATGTTACATTAAGCATGATCATTATTTATGGAGCTTTCAATTTTTTTTCTCGAAAAACTCATTTTGTTTGCTTGAGTACAAGCAAAGAGCTAAGTGTGGGGAAGTTGTTTTATATATTTTTGGGGTGTCTTTCGTGTGTTTTGTGTGCTTAGTTAAGTCTTTTTAAGTTCAATTTAGTTTTAATCGGTCCATTTTGTCATGTTTTGTGTATTTGTGTTTTCGTCTCGTGTTTTTGTGTTTTGGCAACCTTTCTCTTCTCTTTTGGTATTATTTAGGTCCATTATGCAAAAGTTAGGAAGGACAAGCCGTATGAGTCTTTCTCGAGCCATCTGAGCTGTTGTCGAGCCATCCGAGAGAGATAGTCGTGACCCGAGGTCTCAGCTGCACTCGCCTCCAATTCATGTTCGCGAGGCCGCGAGACATCATCTGAGCACCTACTCGTGGTCCTGCGAGAGACTTGAGCACTACGCAAGATACTAGCTAAGAGACGTCGTCCATGACAGCGAAAGACCCGAGCACAACACAGACACTCACCGAGAGACCTATTCCGCGAGTCTGCAAGATGTCGATGCCGCATGCGAGCACTCGCCAAGAGACCCATTTCGCGAGCCTACGAGACCCAAGCAACACACGCTAGACGCTCGCTGAGAATGCCAATTTGCGACAGCGCGAGAACCCATGCGAGACCCGTCTCGCGAGGCCTGCGAGTTTACTAGGCTCTCACGTACACTCGTTGAGAGCGTCCACCCACGAGGCCGCAATAGAATCGTGTGCATCTCGCTGCACTGGCAACGAGTCCTAATCCGTCCCAATACTGAGATCGCGAGCCCAGATCCGAAAAGCCTATGCACTCGTGAATCGCCGCGAGTGTCCATCCGCGAGGTTTTGAGTTCAGACCCGAGGCAGCACCCATCATGCACACTCTCTACGAGTTGTGGTTGGCGAAGTTGCGAGTTCAGTTTAGTAAATGTGTGTGAAAATCAGTGTGTGTACCCCTTGGGCTATAAATTCATTTAATCCATTGTTTCGGAGCACCTAGACTTCATTTTTGTTTGTTTTTATTTTGGGAATTTGTCTTTTCCTTATTTTCTCTAAACTAAGCTTGTGGAGGTTGAATACCCGTACTTTTTCGATGATGCTTCTTCTTATTAGGGTTTTCGACGAGCGTGAGTTTTCGAGTCAATATCCCCGAATTCTCAAGAGATCTCGACGCCACAGATTTTTTGGATTGGTTGTGCATGGTCGAGAATGTACTCGACTTTAAGGAGGTAAAGTCCCGACGGGTGGTGCTGGTCTCGACACAGCTGCGTGGACGTGCGGCTGCCTGGTGGCAACAGTTCAAGTCGGCTCGACAGCGACAAAGTAAGCCCAAAATTGCAACTTGGGCGAAATTTCGTAAGCATGTGGAGCATGAATTTTCTCCCTATAATTATGTTTGCGTGCTTTGTCTACCATTGCAAAATCTTTGTCAAGGGATGCAATCGATAAAAGATTACATGAAGCGATTTTATGAGCTTCTCACGTGCGTTGATGTGCGCGAAACCATGGATCAACTGGTGTCGCAGTATATTAGCGGTTTACGTGTCCCCATTCAGGATACGTTGAATTTGTTTGTGTCGGACACCATCTCATATGCGCATCAGCAGATAGTTTTAGTCGAGCAACAATTGGCGTGACAAGCATTGTCATCATTTGCACCTGTTGCGCGGGCTGTCGCAGGATCCTCGGCTGCTCCAGCCCCTGGTCGTGCAACGGCAGAGGGTGTCGCGCCAACGTTAGGCACGAATACATCTCCAACACTATTTAATTTGATGTATCTTATTGTCATTTTTATATTTGGTAGGAAATATGTTGTTACTAGTAATTATTCGAATTTATGGTATAAAGTGGGTGATTTTATTTTGGTATGAAATGCACGATTTTAGATGGTATGGATAGAAATGTATTTAGAAATTTTAAATACAAAACAAGTTGTATGAATTTTATTTGGTATGAGTATGAAATTCAAATTTTTAATTGATTTGTTTGACTATTCTTTAAAGTAAATAGTATAAAAAATTTAAAAAGATGAAAAGAGAAATAATCATAGTATAAGATATATAAAATCAGGTAAAGTATGTAAATAAATGCATAATTATTTACATACATTTTTATTTATGTTGATTAAAGATGACAAAGATAATTTTTTTTTAATGTATATGTGTGTGTTTACATTTAGACTTTTATTACACGCATTTTTATTAGGTAAAGTGTGTTTACATTTTTATTACACGCATAAATAGACTTTTATTTTCAATGTATATGTGTGTGTTTACATTTAGTTCGTCCATGCATGTATTTACTATAAAATATATGGAATCACATTTTAGTCAAATTGAATTTATGAATTAAAACTTTAAAATGACACTTATTTTATAATGAATATAATATAACTTATTATCAGTTACGTGCATCGTACGAGTTGCGTACTAATTTTACAAGACATGTTTTATGTCATTTTGTAAAATTAAAATTTCATATAACATTTTTAATAAATTAATATGGATAAACTGTATTACACGTTGATTCTATATTTTTAATTTATAAATATTATATAATATGTATTTTTAATTCATAAATATTAATAAATATCTCTCATCCGTACAGAGCACGAAGTCCGTACTAATTTATGGAACACAAGGTGCAGCGTCCTCATAGCGAGTTATGTCATTTTTCTTTGAGCTATCCATAAATGCTTGTTTCTATCTATTCTCAAAATCACATGATCCCAATCATTTTTAACAATAATATACAGCGGAAGTCAATTATAAATGTGCAAATACACTTAATTAAAACGAATTGCATATTTGCATGTTCTTAACGCACATAAACAGTTGGGTAGTTATAATTCTTCACTAATACAATATTTTATTAACATTCGTTAAATTGATTTTTGATGATATCCATTATTTGAAGCAAGATATTTTGTAACACACAATTTGCGTAAATTAATAATTTGCACACCAATTATTTGATGGGTTAACTGTCACATGCCAGCTATGGGTTAATAATTAACACCCTGTCTGCCTGTAATACGCCAAAATAAATATTCTTATTACATATAATATATTTTTTTTTTTTAAAAAAAAGGAAAAGAGTCTTACCATACAATTCCCTCCTATTTCTCCACTGGGACCACGACTTACAAAAACGGGTAAT